GTGACGCTCTCGTTGGGACCTTGACATCTTGTTTGAAGCAGGTCCTCGGAACGTTGCCGGAGGCGTTGGTTCATGAACGTCCGCTTCAGTTCCTCTACGCAGGTCTCCCACAACATGAGCCAAGCCTCGTGGTTCACAAACCAGTGCCTCGCAGTTCCTTCAAGTGACAAATAGACGTTCTGGAAGTACTGTTAAGGCGTCCATTCATTGTGGCGGGTCACGCAATCCAAGTGTTGTAGCCAGACCTGAACGTTTTTATGAACCTCGTCATTGAAGGGCGTCGGAGCGCGAAGTGCGACGTGCAGGTAAACAACGGTGGGAGCTGCCGAGGCCTGCTTTAACGTGTTGCTCATCATCGACAGTCCTCTTCGACTTTTCCGGCAGAAGGTCAAATTCCGATGGCTCTCCCTGGTTGCGGTGACTGGCTCGGAGTTCAGGTTCCGCGCGGTCTACTTGTGGGATTCGCTCTTCTCGCGGGACTAGCTCTTTTTGCGGTTGTTCTACCGGGCTCGCGATTGGACCTGGTTCAAGGCTACTCACAGACGTACGAGAAAAGGACATACGGTAAAGCATCCCGCTCCTCCACCAGAATGTTACCGACGACGAGTGCGAAGCGATGAATGAATGTGGAAACTGAATGCTTTATGCGGCCAACTTTTGACAAAATTAAAAGTCCAGTAATGGGCGCGCCGATGTAGGCGAGGCAGCGCGGTTGAGAGCTAGAGGAACACTGATCTGGGGGCCCTTATCTGGACACTTGGCGAAAAAGTCGCTTTTGAGTCGAAAATATCGTCTGCTAATGACGCCGGCTCTCGGCGCCGTATGCTCGTTCGTTGGCAGCAGTTGGCGTCGCGATCGCTTGCGCCCTCTCTTGTCTCCCGTGCCAAACGGCACCCTATTGTTTGAAGCAGGTGAGTTCGCAGTTCGCTTTTTCCAAATTTTATAGAAAAAATGCACCACCTGTGGGAAGCGCTGCACAAAATCGTAGCGCGATAGGTAAAGAAACCGATTTTTGCGGTCGATATAAAAAGCCTGGCCGCTCTTTGAGACATCCTGTATATAACAACGCAACAGCTAAGCGTGATCAAAAAAAAGAAAGAAAGAAAAGAGCTTTCGGTACGATAAGATGATTATAAACGGCACTACCTACGTTTGGGATTTATCACAGGAAGTGAAATCTTTCAGGAGAGTGCAAGATAACTCAAAATCTATTCTAGATCTTGCTTTTATCAAAAATTCTATAGCAAAGTTCCCTACTTGTGAAGGGGTTGCAGGAATTTCCGGCCACAATACTGTTTTCTATCGCTATCGAACGAAATCATCTAAATGTGACATTATATGGTCCCCAATGTGCGAGATTTCGCTCATGCTGATGACACTTCAATTTTAAACACGCTTGATTTACAGCTTGATGAGTTCATTTTGCTCTCATCGGAGTCTTCCTCCGATGTTAACAAACTGTGGCTTAGATTTAAGAACATTGTGAATCACTTCATTAAAAAATACGTACCAATCGAAACTATAAAGCGAAGCCGGAATAACACGTGGATATCTCGTGAGCCCATTAATTTAAATCGTCAACTAAGGCGATTAAAAGCTAATTATAAAAAAGTTACAAATCAGACTCTAAAAGATAATTTTGTAGATCTTTTTAGTAAGCCCAAAAAAGAAATGATGGCAGATAAAAATAAGTTTTACGATGTTTCCGTACCCAAGTTTATGGCGTCTTCAACTTGAAAGTTCTGGAGACACATCCTAGCAACCACTACAAACCCTAGCACTTTTACAGTCGACGATGCTCTTGAAACGGACCCCAGAAAAATACCTAATCTCTTCAATCTACAGTTTAAATCGGTGTTTACACCTGATGTTGGAATTACACCAGTTGTAACACGTTTGACCACCTACCACCTCTTAAAAATGTACATTTTAATATACAAAGAATTCTTAACTTGCTCTTGAATCTAGACCCACGGAAATTCAGTAGTTCAGATGGATTGACAAACGTGTTTTTGAAACGATATGCAGAGTGATCTTTAAGTACTTAATCATTATATTCAATGTATCATTATGAGAAGGCGAATTGCCGACTGATTGGAATCAGGAGAGAATGAAACCCCGAGATAAAACTCGAAATAAACAGGCATCGGCTAACTACAGACCTATATTGTTAAGTTATTCTGTCTGCAAACTCATTGAATACACTATGAATAAACATATGCTTGAATTTCTTCAAACATGACGTACTATCTAGCAGTCAGCGTGGATTCACAAAAAGGATTTTCCACAACAACCCAGTTGCTTGAAACAGTTCACGACCTAGCTACCGCCTTGAACAAAAAATATCAGGTAGGCGTAATATTGTTCGACTTCGCGAAAGCGTTCGACAAAGTGTACAGGTAAAGCTCATAGAAACGTTAAATATTTACTTTAAAAATTACCAGATCGTCGGTTGGTTATAAGCGTACTTTACAAACCGTTATCGATATGTAGTCGTTAATGAGTGTTCTTCCTTGCTCTCGGTTGATTCTGGTGTACCCCAAGGTTTGGTACTTGCTACTTTGTTGTTGTTTTTTTGTTATTTATCAACGATATTCCTGACGAACATTTCTTTTAAAATGCGTCTTTATGCCGACGACTATGTGCTGTAACGAAGTTACATGTGTTGACCAAATTAGGCATAATGATGATTTAGACAAAAATTTTAAGTAGCGTAATACCTGGCAGATGTGTGTAAACTATGATAAAAGTGTCTGTATGTCAGTTACTATAAAAAAAGAAGCCACTTGCATTCCCCTATCGTCTTAATAAGTAGATCCTACAAAGGTGAATGAATTCAAGTACTACCTGGGTCTCTGGACCCGCTGTAATCTTGGGTGGAATAAACACGTTAGTTTCGTTTCCTCTAACGCCTTCCGTAGACTCTTTTTTCTCAGACGAGCGCTACAATCAGCGACTACAGGCACTCGGCTTCTACCATACAAAACTCTAATTCGCCCTGTTACGAAATATACCATCATTATTTGGGACGCATTCGCTCAAATAACTATTAAAGAGATGGTGAATCGAAATTCTGATTAAAAAAGAAATGCAGGAGGGTGTAGGCGGGACGCTACAATCCCTACAACACTACTCGTAAGGCCGTATTTTTGAAAAAAGAAGTCGAGATTGAATCAGGCCGACGAGGCGCGTGACCTCCTTTCTTCGCTTTGCCCCTCAAGGCGGCGAGACGGAGAAGGCGCGACGCCGTTCCCTTTTCTTCTCGGAGAAACATGACGTAAATCTGTCAAATGCGCCTCCTTTCTTTTTTTGAAAAATACGGTAATCCGTTTGAGATATCGCTGTATGAGTGATGTTTTGGTGTTTGTAGTATCCCGTCGCACGCTTTTGCCGCCGTGTTTTGTGGAATCCAGATTTTGGTTCACCATCCCTTTAACCACAGGCAACGAATACAAAACGAAGCTGTCAGAATCGTTTTTAATTCCTATAGAAAAGCTTCCACTTTAGAGCTTACCAAAACGCTGGGGTTTGTCTCAATGCAAAAAAGAAACCGCACATGCAGTCTTCGATTTTATTTTTAAATTAATTAAGGGGCAGTATAAAATTAACGTAGATGAATGTATAACTTTTTCTACAGGGCCACCCATGGAAGAAACCCGCTTACCATTACATCTTATCAATAGCTTCAAATTTTCTTTTATTTTTATTTTTTTTTTTTTTTTCCCGAACGATTGTAGAATGAGACAAGCTTCCTTACAAAACTACCAGTCAAGACTTCGTCAGTGCATTTGTCTCTCCCTTGTGTTCCGATTGATGTAACTCATTTGCACCTTTTTTTTTTTTTTTTTTTTTTTGCTTTGTTTTATATTTTTTTACCCAGCTACGATCCCTCATAAGGGATCAGCAGTATTTGTAATTAAATTAAAGATTAGTTAATTTCGCTGAGAAGTAACGAATTACTTAACTCGTTACGTTACAAATTACTTTCACGTTACTTTTCCCGTGCTCTTATCAAGAAAGCAATATAAACAATTTTGATTTTTTTTTTTCAGAAATGTTTTGCAACACTACTTTCTATTTCCCATACGCCCGCATTATGATAGTCCTTGTAAAAAATAAATGTGACATTTAAGAAAAAGAATCTAGGTGCACTCCGTTTTCTCCTGTAAGCTGACAAGTAGCAACATAGAGTTCAGTGAGCAGCAACCAAACCCGCCATCCCGCTAGCTTACGGCGACCGGAAATGATTCCTGGAATCCTGCAGACAAAGCGAGCAGTGTGCATGCCCAGTAGCAGCGTCTACCACCGCTAGAAGTTTTGGAGGTAAGAAACCGTTCTACGAAATATCCCTTTCTTTTGAAACGGGCCTTTCAAGTGTGAGCGCAACGTCTACTGCGTGGCGTCTACTGCTGAGCGTTACCTTTTCGCCAGAACTGGACATTGAAGCTAGCGAAAGCATGCTGGGATTCTATTTCCCATGTATTTTGTCAATAAAGGCAACGTGGGCGTTCTCTTGTTTACGTGCCACTACTAGAAGCTCGCTACATGGTACGTAAACAGCGTCTCGGTAAGGATCATGGCCCAGGCCCGGGAAAAAAGGAAGAGCTTTGCCCCCCCCCCTTCCCGAACTCTACGCCTATGACTTGAAGTACATCACGTCTCATTTACTTTGTACTTCACTTGAAGTACCTTTTAGATGTACTTTACCCAACATTGCCATTTATTTAGCTGAAACCATGGTGGAAACCGCATATTTCTGAGATTCATAGCATATCCCACTGTGTCATTACCCGTTGGTAAGCGAAACTGAAACTACACAATGAACTGTGTGTAAGAATGTTAATTTTCGTTAATATAAAAAGCACAATATTTGACTTAAAATGATCATTTTGTTGTTTAAATGCGCATTGCTATTAATTATTGTATGAACATATGAAACTAGAAATTACAACCACCTCGTTTGATTTAAAGTAGTCGCCTACTAGCGCCACTACTGCAACAGTGGGGAAACACATTTCTTCGCACACAACTACAAGGTCGCGGACCGTCTCGTTTTATTTCCAGTCGTTACACCGACCGCAGCTGCCCTTTTCCGCCGCAGTTTTATTGATCGTCACCTGACTTCGCCATGTTCTGAGCTGTACGCGCCGCTCCCTGAACAGAAATATTTCTCCGAAAATCCTGCGTGAACAGGCCGAGTCCGGGACAAGATGGGGGGCCTTTTTCGCAGCGAAGAAATGACGCTTTGTCAGCTGTTCCTGCAGTCCGAAGCGGCGTATGCCTGCGTTTCCGAATTGGGAGAATTGGGCTTGGTCCAGTTCAGGGACGTGAGTATTGGAACCTTTTCTGTATCTTTGTATAAGTTCTAAAACCGGCTGCTCATTCTTTTGGGTTTAAATTGATTCTCGCGACCGTCCCTCAGCTCAACCCGGACGTCAACGCGTTCCAACGGAAGTTCGTCAACGAAGTCCGCCGTTGTGATGAAATGGAACGAAAACTTCGTGAGTCCGCTTTCATTAAAGTACTTCTAAACGCGATGATTTTTTTTTTTCGTTTGTTTTATTGCCGTCCTAGACAGCATGAGCAGAAAGGGGAAATCATGTGACATTCTCGGGTCGCCTTCTGACATTTGGCAACACACACCCCTTTCAATGCTTTGGGAAAAGACTGTGTCTACAGCACTTAGAGTTGGTCGTGGTCTACAAGGCCGTCCGACGGCACTCCACTCGCGCCTACGAGTGCCGTCCGAGAGTCGAACGGCGAGGCGTGTATCACTGGGGAGCTCGTTAACACATCCCCCCGCCTGCGTTCACGCCGCTTTGCGGCGTCAGAATTCGGCTGCTAATTACAAATCTATTAATCCATTTGCCCCCGTCGTACACGCCGCTTCGCGGCGTCCAGCCGGCAACCCAAGACCCGCCGTCCCCCATGCACCTCCGGAAAGAAAGTCTCATGCCATTTTGTTCAACGAAGTTTCGTCGACAACATTCGTTTTTTTTTTTTCTTTCAGTGTTAATCGCACAAAAAGAAATGTCGTAAATATCGCCAGATGCCTCGACAAATAAATAAATGTCAGAGAAAAAAAAAATGTAAGCCTGCACTGTGGATCGAGCCCAGGACAGCTTGCGGATGAAACGGACATCTTACCATTACGCTACGTTACCGCTTCGAAAAATGCGTTTTGACAATGTGTTTTATATGAGACTTTTCGAACGGCTCTTGAAGGTGTGAGTGGAGTACCGTCGGATGGCACTTGAACACTCTGCAAGAGTGCCGTCGGACGGTACTCTAGACATTACGTTGAGAAAGACACGCAAAACCGGAGTCTAATAATTGAAAGCAGCTGGCTTAACTGGCTCAGTCTTCAGCGTGGTTTGCACTGGCATTCTGAGTTGCCTCTCATCTACCCAGAAGACTAGGCTCTGGACGAGTGGCAATATGGGTTTCTCGGAGTTTATGGCCAATCCCAGATTTTAGTGGCAGCAAAAGTTTGCTGGGCACGGGAGCTCCAGCCAAGATGACTGGTTGTGCCTCCTGATGGCGTGTTGGTGCCCTCAAGACTTGAGCTTTGCTCAAGTGCTTCCTATCGTGTTCTCGTAAATGTTTTTTTTTTTTTTTTTTTGCTTGCATTTGTTTGACGCGTTTGAGATAGCAGTGACTGGCACAAGGTGCCGCGGAATGTTATCTGAAGCATCCAAGCACCATCACCCATCACGGTGGCCGAGGCAGATGCGCTGCATGAAGACTCACAAAGCGCTGGTCCCGGTTATCTCGTGCACGTCGGGCGGAGGCGAGTGAAACAAGCATGACTGTGAACACAAAAGGAAGCGCATTCCCGAAGCACGAGTCTCAAGAGCGGCCGTACGCTGTTGGAAGACGCAGCCAGTCATTTCGGCTAGCGCTCCCATGCCCCACAAGCATTTGCTGTCGACTGTATGTTTAAATCGAGCGGTCCCAGGTTTGATGTGCCACATCTGCGCCATACAAACCTTGCATACACCTAGAACCTGGTCGAGCTTGCACCCACCACAAAAGCACTTGGTGACGTCAGATTCAGCACTCCAGAACTAGTTAGATTCCCAAATAGGCATTTCCAAAATTCAAATAATTGTTGCCCCCCTCCACTTTCCACGGGTGGTTATCATTTTAGCTCGTTCTCGTCTCTCCCTTCTCACTTGTCCCTTTTGAAAACGGCCATTCTCAAAAATATTTCACTTTGACCCAATGCATTTAACTCTTTCCACTGCAAAAATTGTTTTTCTTTTTGGGGGGGTAGTATTAATAAATACATCAATATATTTTGTGAGTGTGCCTGCGTGCCCACGTCTGTTGGGGTTCGGGCAAGCCAGCGGGCACAGAGAGAGTGACTAAATGTCAGTGCTTCATATATTAACCAGACGACGCGGAAACCTCCTCCAACGAGGGCGACCCGCGGTACCGAAAGCGCACAAAATGTGACGTCTTTGGTCCTGGGCTTACTACTGGTCAGAGCCACTAAAAGCTTCTTTTTAGTCGAAATACAAAATATAAGTGGCGTGAACCGTTTCAATTATTCATAAAAGTAGTTTTTGTTCAGTATTTTTGATCAAAAAAGAAACGAATGCAGTTTATAAAGTACGGAAACAAGATATGACCCTTCGACTTACCCGCCACCAAGCGGTGTAAAAGGCGGCGCATACTAGAAAGGAGTAGTGGGATCAGGCACCGACACGGAAAGGTCCCGGATGTATGCGGCGGCGCTGTGCTCGTATGGGCAGGAGGATCCGACCGGCTTCGAGCGTTCCGAAGGCCTTCGGCGAGAAGCTTTGTCTTGCGGTTTGGCCGTTTCATGGTATGGCAGCGCGAAGTAGCTCCCATTCTGAACTGATCTTTACCACTGATCTTTACCCCGTGTTTGCTGTTGTTTGTGGCCAATGACGTGTCAAGCCGAATTAGTGTTTAATCGCGGAGCAAATGCAATGAGAGCCGCTCTGGTTGCCCCTCTCGCGCCGTCGACGTGGAGTGCGGCAGCCGTGAGCGCTCAATGAGCTCACTACTTCTCCTCTAGTTCGCTGTCCCTCTCAAGCAACCAAGGATGTCATGAAGGGGGTTATTTTTTGCTCGTTTTTGTGATTTTAATTTGCCTATAACTTTTAAAATAAAGGGAATTTCGTGAAAAGAAGTTTCACTAAGTTACTACGTTCAGTGCACTCAGGTTCGGTGCAAATTAAAAATTAGTAAAAAAAGTCATTGCAGGGCCCCTTTAAGCTACGCTTTTATAAGTGAATCGGAGCAACGGAATAAACCATGTGATGCCTCTCCACACCTGGAATGCGCTCCAATGGTGCTCTGGATTCTTGTCTGTGCCCTTGTTTGCCAAGTGCTTTCCTGGCTCCACAACCAATTTTTTTTTTAGGTTTTCTGGAAAAGGAAATTAAGAAGGATGGTATCCCTATGCTGGACATCGGTGACAATCCTGAGGCACCACAGCCTCGAGAAATGATTGATTTAGAGGTGAGTCTCATCTTTTATTTTGTTTGTAATCTGCACGTTTCAGGGTCCGTTGTCATTACAGTAAGACCTTCCTACATTCAAATGCAAGTGTCGCGCAGGAAGCTAAACAAAGCAAGAAAGTTCTTTCATAAACATATTATCGTCTGGCATTGTGGCATTAACCATGCAAGTTAGATTATCTTCAAAGATAGGTAGTCTTTTATCAGTCTCTGAAGTATCATGAGGGATGCACAAATAGAACTTTACACGAGCTGTAGATCACAGATACATTTGTGCAGCATTTCAGTAATGCCGTGTCCTTCTCGCGGTGAAGAACAGAGCATTATTAGAAGGCTGCCATCCACTTACTCAGGTGGCAAGACCACTTGCCTCGTGTTGGGGCGCAGTCATTTGCATGCATCTTGCCCGAGACGTTTGGAGAAATGAAGTCTACAACGTTTGCGGTGTGTGCAAACCCCCAGGCGACGTTTGAGAAGCTGGAGAATGAGTTAAAGGAGGTGAACACCAATGCAGAGGCCCTCAAGAAGACCTTTCTCGAGCTGACGGAGCTGAAGCACATCCTGCGCAAGACCCAGGCCTTCTTCGATGAGGTGCGTACGTTGGTTTGGCATCTCGGGAAGGAGGTCCGTGAAGGGGGCAACTCCGAGGCGGCATCAGAATTGGCTCTGCACCCGAGGTGACCCCTGGGTGTTGTTTGTGCCCGCCCCTTTCCTGCCCTATAGGGGCGTTTCTGAAAGTGCACGCTGTTTCCAGTTCCTGATTATCATGGGGGAAATAGCTACTCCAGAGGCGGGCACTCATTATCGGGGCAACAGATTAATTAGACATCATAGGAAGGAGTAAACATCAGTCTTCACATTATAAACATATCCAATAAAATAGTGTATATCTATTGTGACATTTTGTTTGTGAGCAGTGTCACAATCATGTACAGTATTTCTCAAAAGTTCAGAGCCCGCCACGCGTCTGGCCGGAGCAGATTGCATAGGGCACCGCTTGCTGTGTGCGAGGGTTGCAAGAGTGGGAGAGAACTTCACTCTTGCGTCGCACTTGCCTTGATACCAAAGTCGTTTATCAAGGCGAGCACGACGCAAGAGATACCCTCGAAGCCAGTGAGCTATTGTCTTGATTTCAGGAAGGGAGCAATTCGGACGATGGGGAGCGTTTGCAGCTTAATGGCAGACGCTTCGTGTGGAGATTGGGCGCAAGTGCGCATGAGCTGCATTGTTGTGTGGCGAGGAGTAAAGCGGGCGAAAAGGCGGAGACTCTTACAAATGTCACCTCCTCTCATTTCGTACTGCAAACATGGCCCATAATCTACATGACCCCGATCGATCATTTCGAAAAACTCTGCAATATAGGCTTTCTATCGAGCACCAGCGATAGCGGCACTGCTGTGCGGGACTTAGCCCGCTCCGGTCGTGCACACGACCGGACACTACCTTATGGGGTGCCGAGAAGAGCTGGAGCATTCTCAGCGATAAAAAAGTAGAAGCGATTTGTTTGACAATTGATTCAAAACTTGTGAAACGCTTATAACTTGGGTCAGTTCCCACTACCATAAAAGCAGCTGTCAGGGTGTCGATTGTGGCACCGCCATTGTCTTTAGTGCCATGCTGGTCTTTTGGGGGAGGGGAGGTAGTTGATCATGGAGCCTCTCTTCAGCAGGCTTCTAACAGATGAGATGGGACTGGCTGCCTAAAGGTGTAGTGAAGCTATTTCTTCTTTCACCTGTTTTTGTTTTTTTTTAATCTAAGATGACTTTAGAGATCTAAAATTGTTGTTACATGTGCCCCACTTTGATATAGAAGATCAGTAGATCAGACTCATGTTTGGTCCACTCTTGGACCCTGTTAACTAGCTGTGCTTGAAATCTCTAAGGTCTCGCATACAAGCTGGTTTTTGGCAACCTTGAAGAGGTCTCCCCCGCAGTTTTCACACTTTCGGTGCGGTCCAAGCACGTCCTGCTTTGCTTTTCTTATTGTCTCTTGCTCCGCCGCCACTTCACAATGCTCGCATCAGAGGCTTCACTTTGAATTCATTTTTTATATCAACAACAATTTTTAGATTTCTAGAATCCTCGGGGCACGGAGGTTAGCTTAGAGCAATAAAAATGTTTGGAAATCTGCTTTAGTGCGACCAACCAAATTAGAAAGGAAGAAAAAACAAAACACTAAGATGTAGAAGTAAAGGCAGGCATGGAGGTACTTCACCTCCTCTCTCTCTGCCTCAACACGTCTCAAGTTTCTTGTCTGATTACAGGCCTTGAGTCTTGATAATTTCTTAAACTCTTTGTCCAAACGAATCTGTCGAAGCTGGGAGCGCAAGACTATGGCTTTTGGAAGGAGGCTGTCTTGTGGTGCTCGTGTAGTGGGGGAAGCTGAGAAAACAGACAGCGGTTACTTTCACTTTGTTCACACACACGAGTAAAGTGGCAAACAAACCATGCTGTTGTGTGGTTCAGGAAGGATTAATTGACACTTTCTTAAAAATTGAATAAAAAGATTAAAAAATATTAGTGCATATATCCCCTGATTGACCCTCTTACCTAAATATAATCTGAGAGTGCACTCGGTAGTATTAAAAAGGCTGTCTCAAGACCTTGAGGTTTTTTTTTCTTACTTTGGGCTTTATTTAGCTTTTAGTTCCCACCATTTCAACCTAATTGTAAATACCCTGCACTGTTGGTGTATTTTTAATGCGCTAGCTTTACCGGTGACGCTTTGCAGAGATTTCGGTGTCACTGTTTGTAGTCTGTTGTCGTAGTGGAGATAGAAAAACCCTTCTCTCCCCGCTTGGCGTGAGGAGAGACAAATCGGGTGCTCCTGTTGGTTGTGCTGAGGGAAGAGAGGCAAGCCCTGACGACCCTTCGATGATGGCATGACGACGAGAAATAGTTTGCTAAAGATAACTTCAACACAGGTGTTTTCAAACATTATTCGTGTTATATGAAATCCCAGTTTGGCAGTGTTCTATTTGCTATGGATAATGTTGGAGGGCTTGTAAACTTCCACTGCCTTCACTTTCACTATAGCATGTCTACTTCTCGAACGCAACTCCAAGCGCAAGTTCTGTTTTTTGCCAAAACTCGTCGCCTTGCGCCCGCCTCTAGCAGGGCTCTGCCTTATTTCTCTGCGTGCGTCCTACTCTACACTGATTGCTGAACACCGACAATGCCCCCTCCCTTCACCACTCAACAACGCTGGGAAAACCTGTGCCTTTGCTTGCATCGGCCCAGGCTTTCCCGTCAACATGCAAACAAGTAAAGGCGATAGCCGTGGCACGTCTGCACAATGCAGCGAAAATGGCGTTGTATACCTGTCCTCAGGTTTGTGACGACGCCATTTTACCCGCATTTCACTTATTCGCACGTTGTGGGGAAAGAAGGCACCCCTTTTTCTTTACCTTTTATTTTGCCTGTTCTCAGTAACCAACATACTGAGTCGACATATAGCATGAAAATTACGCGTTGTCACTAAAGAGCATGCAAAAGTTTCAACTTAAGCTTTATTGTATTACAAAATGTTTTTTTTTTTTTTTTGTGGATAGCTTGATGCAGAGGAAGAAATCTAAGCCTTTTGCCAGTGTAATTTCATTCTTTGTGATAAACCACTTGATGAGCCTTTAAGTTCCCAACTTCTGTTCCAGTTGTCCTTTTTGATGCAAGACGCTAGCAATGCAAGTGTAACAAATCTCATCACTCTTCCTCGATGGTGCAGAGCCAATTGTTCCTTGCTGGGAGTGTCATACCAACTTGTAGCAGTGTGTGTTAGTAGTGCCAGGTCACCAAGAATCGGCTGTGGCTTGCCTCATCTTAAATTACATTTCAAAGAAACTCAACCTGGCTCTGTGTGGAAAACGGAAACCAGATCACTGCAATCACATTTGTTGATTCCATGGTTCCCCTAGCTGGCAGTTGGTTGAAACCAGTATAATCATAAGGCCTTAAAACCAACTGCTTCATAAACATGGCGAGTTCGCTTGTTCTAGGAGACTTGGCAGACTTTCAGCTTGTACAGGTCTGAGACAAGCATGCATGAATATATAGATATACAGGGCAGCTTTCTGTTTAGCCCCTCCACAATTTCAAGGTGTCTAGCTTGCCCTACACAACCAGGCCTTTGGTGAGATGCAGCTCTTTGTTCTTTCTATTTTTAGCTAGTGTTTCGAGATGGGAATGTAAACTCTATATGAATGCTTGTGTGCTGGAAGCACCTGGTAAGGCTATCAGCTTGTACTTTGTAGCCTTTGTTGTGCCGTAACTTCATCAAAGTAAATTATCAGGGAGGGTATTGTCAGACAGTGCAGTGCATTAGAAAATGGTTGAGGGGCTAGAGGAATGACCTGCAAACTCTACACCGTTTTTTTTTTCTTTTTCCTTTTTTTTATTTTTTGGCTGCATTTTTGGCAAATGGCTGTAACCTTTTGCAAAGTTCATACTTCAGGGCTATCTTCCAACCTCTGGACTGGTTTGCCAAAGAGGATTCAAGTGTTTGTTGCCTAGCAAAAGATGTAGGTTCTGCGGGTCAGTCCTCAGCTGAGCATTTGACTTGTATCAGAGAATCTATTGTATGCATATTGGTTCAGAGCCTTTCAGATGTTTTCAACTATCTTTCTCATTGTCCCCTGCTTCTCTTCTTTTCTGCACATTGTGTTTGTCCTGTGACTAACACTCATCTGTACGACTTTTGTGATGCTTGTGGAATTTCTGTTCCATTGCCAGCATACCCCTTTCACCACTCAAATGGTTCTTTACCATTGCTAGCATACCCCTTTCAGCACTCAAAAAAAGTGATACTCACCCTTAGACGTTAGACTGGTTACTACTAACAGGGTTGGTGCAGTGTTGGATTATGCAAAGGTTCCCCCCTGTAATCACAGTTTGAAACTCCAAATTTCTTGGAGAGGTTTGTGGAAACTTGTTTGATTTTCAGTAAGCTCTCAAGGTTGTACTCTAGGCCACCTTCTGCTTCCTGGTCTTAGAACTGAAGTTGTTGAAAACTTCAGTTTGTTGTTTATCAAACTACAGCTTGCAGTGTTCAACAATTGTTGAAAACTACTTGGTGCTTAACCAGCCAGTTGTTTGCTTTGAGGGTTTCAGCTTTAATGCATGCGCATGCAAAGGAGCTAAACTGGTTTGAAAACTGGTCGAACTGGTACCATAAGTTACCAGAGAAGATAGCCGTGTGTCATTGATGTCGTAGGCAATTTGGTTCCTTTCCCAAGTCCTCCCACTGGGTGGCGGTAATGGTTGCATGAGGCCCCAAGGGATGATACCAGAGCATTTGGTTTTCAAACCTCGCTGTAAAATTTAAAGTTAAACATCATCTGTTTCACTGGAGTGGACCTTCAACACATGTCGTCATAATCCAGTGAGCCCTGAACCAATTTTGTTTTGCAGAGAATTGTGCGCTTCATTTTCACTTGTTAGGGCACGGTTGCCATGGGAACCCGTGGCCACGAAAACCTATAATCAATATTTCTGGGTACTGTATCACCTTGTCGAAATTTAATTGCAATATAATTTTTAGTTCTGTGGCGGATGTTCACAGCTGTTTGCCATGCTCAGCAGCAGCTGTAGCAGTAATAG